AGGGACACTTCACCTGGTAACAGACAATCCAGTGATCTATCACTGGTGGCCACTTCACCTGGCACTGACTAATGCTTCAACTAGCAATGGTTTATTCTATGATCTCACAGAGGACCACTTCACCTGGCAACAGCATATCCTTCAACTGGCAACAATCAATTCGGTGATACCACTGAGGGCCACTTCACCTGGCATATTAGTGTCTACAGCATATTAGTGTCTACAGAAATCATTATATAATATAGTCAATTGAAAGGGATCTAGACGTCTTAATGACCATGAATGAGGTATCTATCTATCTATCTATCTATCTATCTCTATCTATCTATATCTATCTATCTATCTATCTATCTATCTATCTATCTATCTATCTATCTATCTATCTATCTATCTATCTATCTATCTATCTATCTATCTATCTATCTATCGTCATCATGCAAGAAAAGACTAATGCCATTCTAATCTGCATATAGAAATAGAGTGTCTAGGGATGTCATAATATACATATAGAAAGGGATGTAGGAACATTAGAGGATGATGAATGCGTTAACAATAACAACAACAACAACAACAACAACAACAACAACAACAACAACAACAACAGAATATAGTGTCTACAGAAGGGGACCTGGCACTGCCCAGGTGATTAGAGAAAGTGGGTCATGGGGCTTCGGTGTGCCAAGTTTGGTCTTGATTGGTCATTGGTTGAGGGTCGCAGTGGTTTCAGTAAGTGAATGAAGGTACTGCAAGTCCCATCATCCATGATACACCCTCCTCCAAACTGCACCAGGATGTAGAGTGTGTCATGGGGGCTCTGTGTGCCAAGTTTGGTCTTGATCGGTCATTGGATGACGGTCGCAGTGGTTTCAGTAAGTGAGTGAAGGTACTGCAAGGCCCATCATCCATGGCCCACCCTCCTCCAAACTGCACCAGGATGTAGAGTGGGTCATGGGGGCTCTGTGTGCCAAGTTTGGTCTTTATTGGTCATTGGATGAGGGTCGCAGTGGTTTCAGTAAGTGAGTGAAGTTTCTGCAAGTCCCATCATCCAAAGTCCATCCTCCTTCAAACTGCAGCAGGATGTAGAGTGGGTCATGGGGGCTCTGTGTCCAAGTTTGGTCTTGATCAGTCATTTGATTAGGCTCGCAGTGGTTTCAGTAAGTGAGTGAAGGTACTACAAGTCCCATCATCCATGGTCCACCCTCCTCCAAACTGCACCAGGATGTAGAGTGGGTCATGGGGGCTCTCTGTGCCAAGTTTGGTTTTGATCAGTCATTGGATGAGGCTCGCAGTGGTTTCAGTAAGTGAGTGAAGGTACTACAAGTCCCATCATCCATGGTCCATCCTTTTCCAACCGCAGGAGGATATAGAGTGGGTCATGGGGGCTCTGTGTGCCAAGTTTGGTCTTGATCGGTCATTGGATGAGGGTTGCAGTGGTTTCAGTAAGTGAGTGAAGGTACTACAAGTCCCATCATCCATGGTCCATCCCCTTCCAACCACAGGAGGATGTAGAGTGGGTCATGGGGGCTCTGTGTGCCAAGTTTGGTCTTGATCAGTCATTGGATGAGGGTCGCAGGTTTCAGTAAGTGAGTGAAGGTACTACAAGTCCCATCATCCATGGTCCACCCTCCTCCAAACTGCACCAGGATGCAGAGTGGGTCATGGGGGCTCTGTGTGCCAAGTTTGGGCCCCATGGTTGGCCCCTTGCTATGAGAAAGGGGTTGGTTTGGATGCCCTTGGGATGCCCCATAGTTGGATCTTTTGAGTTCTATAACAGATGTTGGTCTTCTTCTGAATGTGCACAGACTACATTATCATCAGCATATGGGAGTTCTATATCAGATGTTGTAGATCTTTTTCTGAATGAGCCCAGACTACGTTATCATCAGCATATGGGAGTTCTATAACAGATGTTGTAGGTCTTCTTCTGAATGAGCCCAGACTACACTATCATCAGCATATGGGAGTTCTATAACAGATGTTGTAGGTCTTCTTCTGAATGAGCCCAGACTACATTATCATCAGCATATGGGAGTTCTATAACAGATGATGTTGGTCTTCTTCTGAATGAGCCCAGACTACATTATCATCAGCATATGGGAGTTCTATAACAGATGATGTAGGTCTTCTTCTGAATGAGCCCAGACTACATTATCATCACCATATGGGAGTTCTAGAACAGATGATGTTGGTCTTCTTCTGAATGAGCCCAGACTACACTATCATCAGCATATGGGAGTTCTATAACAGATGATGTAGGTCTTCTTCTGAATGTGCACAGACTACATTATCATCAGCATATGGGAGTTCTATAACAGATGATGTAGGTCTTCTTCTGAATGAGCCCACACTACCTTATCATCACCATATGGGAGTTCTATAACAGATGATGTAGGTCTTCTTCTGAATGTGCACAGACTACATTATCATCAGCGTATTGGAGTTCTATATCAGATGATGTAGGTTTTCTTCTGAATGAGCCCACACTACCTTATCATCAGCG